TTTTCAAGAAACAGAAATACAAGACCTGATTGACAGCCTGGGAGGAGAAACCTGAGGTGCCTGAGGGCCTGGACTCATGGGAGCATCCCAAAACTCTTGTCAGTCCCTTGAGGGGTCTGATATCCCAAGAAGTGCCAGTCCCCATGAGGCTGGCTCAGAATAAAACTGCAGAGCAGGTGTTGGAAGGGTCAGGTGAGTAGGTCAAGCCCCTCCCCTTTGTTATGAATGTGTAAATAAAATGATGTAAACCCAAAGTGCCCGGCCACACCAAGACCTTCACTTTGCAAAGCCTTTGCCTTACTTTTGATGTTAGATGAACATCTAATAAGCTTAATTAAAGTTTAATTAGTGTAAGTAGGCTAAATGTGGTAGGTCAGCAGGCACAGCAGATGCTAAAATACTTTTGGCAATAATCAACCTGACCAAAAAAAAAAAAAAAGGGGAAAATTTCCCTTCTTAAAAAAATAAGTACCTCTAAGTGACTGGTTTAGACTTGTCATCTTTCAGGGGTGTTTTTTTTCTTTTTACTTTCTTTCCCCAGGCAATACTGACCAGTTGAGAGCAAATCCTGTTTCTTCACATCAGTGGGAATAAAAAAAATCAGTTTTTGTCCTTTACTGTGCTCTGGAATTTCACCCCAAACATTTTCTGGAGTACCTGGGCGTATGGCACAGGGAGATGTCTCACTGCTTTCTGCTCTTCTCTTCAGTCAAGAGCCCCATGGTGAGGGCTGTGGTTGCACAGCCCAGCTGACTTTATTAAAGATCCAGTAATCATTTATTAAGGGCTTTCAGTGAAATTCAGCAGTGTATCACCAGCCTGGCTGGCCACTGCTGCCTAGGATGTTCTTGGCAGCTATGGGTGGTGTTTCCTTAACTTTGAAATGAAATTTGGATGTGATTTGGGTATTTTGGCATGCAGGTACCTGTGTTTATCTGTGGTGTCTCTGTTTTTTATCCTGCTGGGTCTGGTGACAGCACAGCTGGGCCACTGAGCCCTGTGGGTGAGCCCTTGACCTGTTCTGGGATGTGCTCTTGGATCAGGAATCCCACTCGGGGATGAGCCTCATGAGGCTCTGGTAAGCCACAGTCCTTCGCAGTCAGCTCCAGCAAAGATTCTCCAGCTCCTTTTTTATTTTTATCTGTCTCGGTTGGATCATCCCTAAAAATAATCTGCAATGCAAGATGCTGCAGCGCTGGATAAGGGAATGTGCCGAGAGGCTTCCTTGGATCAAAGGCCTGGGAGAGGGGCCGGGAGAATGAGCCAGGCTAAAGTTCAGGGGTATCCTTCAGATCCAGAGGGTAGCAATACAAAACAAGCTGCTGTTCTCTTGAGGCTTTGCTGGGCACTGGAGGAAGCTGCAGGGAATGTGGAATTCCCCCCGGGATCAGATGGTGGCTGGGAAAATGGAGAGGAGCAGCAAGAATTTAGGGCAATGGTCTCAGACACAGCAGGCTCAGGCAGCTTCCCCCAGATTTTTGTCTGTGTGTCAGACAGAAATTCTATTGCCCAGAGCCTGCTCCTGGAGCCTGCTGGAGCTCCTGCGTGGAGCCACTGGAGCCTGGAAAACCACCCCAGTAAAGTGCTAATGTGTTTGTGAGAGAAGCCTCAAATGGAAGGAAATTTCAGTACTCAGAGGGAGACAAGGAAGGACGCACCCCGTTTGGGGCTGGATGGAGGCCTTGTCCGAGTTCAGTGCTTCTGTGATTGTATAAAATGGATGGGGGACAGGCCCTGGGCCCTTCTGAAATGTTCCCAAACCCAAGCACAGGGAGCTCCTCCTGCCAGCTGGAGCTGCAGGCAGATGCAGGCACTCACACAGCAGTTTCTGAGTAATACCAATGGGCAGGAAAATGCAGGGGAAGTGAGGAGCTCATGTCCGGGGTGCTGCAAGGGCTTGGGAGCAAAATGCAGTGTGGGAGATGAAGCAGAGCCACGAATGCAGAGGCTTCTCCTGAAAAATCAGTCCTGGCTCTGCCCTGTGGGTCAGGGCTGCTGTGCCTGCACAGTGCAGGGCTCAGTGCGAGCTCCCAGGGCCACAGCAGCCACTTTGGGGTGCAGGGCAAGAGCAGAATGTGGGGTCTGGCCCCCCTCCATCAGGACACCTCAGCAGTCCCAGCTGGGACACTTGGCTCCATTTCCTGCCCAGGCATCACCCCCTCTTTCCATTTGCAGAGGGGATATTTAATTATTATGATTTTTAAATAGGGCAGTTTTGACAACATGAACTGATGCATCCTTGTGGGCACGTGGGCAAGCTGGGGCATTTTCTGTGAACACAGAAGGCTACTCTTTTATCACTGCTTATTGTTGCTACCTGCCTCTAATCCTGAAGGGGAGAGTACTTTATTTTTTCCCCTTTTTTAAATGAGCTGTTCAGTCCTCTGATTTCTAACTTCCCAAGAAACTTAAAGTAAAGCAAAAGCTTTTAGGTCAAATGAAACACTTTGGGTCAAGCAAACTTTGTTTTTCGAAATCTAACTAAGGAATATAAACTTTCAGTTCAGGATTAGCCTAAACCATTTTTTTCTTTTTTTTCCAGGTGCTTTTTTTCTTCCTGTTTGAAAAAATGATGGGAAAAGCTCTGCCCTGGGGTAGTGCAGCTCCCTCTCCTGTGGGATGAGTGTCCTAAGAAGGGAACAGAGCTGGGCAAGGCTCTGGAGCTCAAGGGATGGGATGAGGGAACGGCCCCAAGCTGTGCCTGGTGAGGTTTAGAGTGGACACTGGGGGAAATCTCCCCACTGGAAGGTTTGTCAGGCTGCCCAGAGGCACCATCCCTGGAAATGCTCAAAAGGCATGTGGATGTGGTGCTCAGGGAAATGGTTTAATGCTCTTGAATTCACGGTTAGACTTGATGATCTTGGAGGTCTTTCCCAGCCTTAATGATTCTGTGATTCTTTTGGTTAAAAGGAAGTGGAAACACAATTAGAAAGGATTAATCTGCTGTTTGCAATGCTGGACGTGCTCTGCTTTGGGGACAGCTTTCCCCTGCCCTCCTTCCCCAAATGAAAACTCGAATCTGTGCTTGCTGCATTTTAGTTTTGCTCCATTTTTACCCTGAAGAAAGTGTGGTAATAAGCATTTCTTTGCAGCTAGAGAGCCACTTCCAGATGTGTTTATCCTGCATGTTCTTATCCTGTGTGCCATTTGGTCATGCTGAGCTCAAGAGGGAGCTTGCCCTGGACCCAGCTCAGAGGATATTGCTGCAGGAGCCACTGCTCCCAGCAAAGTGCTGTGAAAACATCCAGGGGATGTCTATTCCTGCCCTAATCCCTGAAATGTGTCCCTCATAAACACAGCCAAATAATTTGGGTGCTTTGTCTGTGCAGAGTGGAAAGAGCTGCTGTGGGGACGTGGAGAGTTTGAGTGTCTTGTTTTGCATGTAAGTTCTCAGCACTGAAGTGCATAAATAGAGGGCTTTGCACCTCATAATTTATAATTCAGCCCAAGGAATTCACTAATACCTTTATCAGAATCGGGAATGTTGCTCAAAGCACAAAAGCACAAATCACTGAGGAACAGGCAGACATTAAGGGCTGCTGTTGTCTCTGCCTCTGGATTAACAGCCAGAATCAGTGAGATTTTCTCCTAAACAAATGTTTGACTGTTGCGTGTGTGAATAAATACAATTTCTCTCTCTCTCTCTCTCGCTTTTTTTTTTTTTTTTTTCTGTTAAGCAGGCCAAGGAAGAAAAGGAAAAGCTGAAGTGCCTGAGGTGCAGGGAAGCATTTTGCTCTATTCACTGACTTTGCTAAGTGCCGGCTCTGTTTTCCCATTGTGGGGTGAGAGCAGGAGGGCCCAAGATTTGGGAGAGGCCCAAGAATAGGGGAGGAGTTCATCACAGCTGTCCCTGGCTGTGGGACCTCTGGTTGTGGTGGAGGTTTGGTGGCCAGGCAGTGAAGTCAGGGGGTTCAGGGAGATAAACCCACCTCATCCAGGGTCTGAGAGCAACCTGGTCTAGTGGGAAGTGGATGGCCTTTAAGGTTCCTGGCAATCCCTGAGATTCAGTGCTCCTGTGGCAGGGAAAGAGGTGGTGGAGAAGCTTCTCTGTGAGCAGCACAGGATGGTTTTGAGTGCCCCCTAAAGCACTTCAGCTCAGACTGGAAAAGGAAAAAACCCACTTGGGAATGCTGATGCATCAGCCAGGGTTGCTGTAGCCACAATATATCCCGGGAAGCATGGCATCACCCATGGCTCATTTACAAGCCCTGGATGGTGCAGGGAACAGGAACTGCCCCTCAGAACCCCACTGCTGGGCCTTCTCCTGCAGTCCCCCGGTGCTGACAAAGCCCAGCTTCACAGGCCACGGGGGAAGCTGTAAAGCTGCTCTCCTGATCCCAGAGCTGGAGCCAAGGGCAGCTGGAAGGCAATGGAGAGGCTCTCAGTGACTCCAGGCTGCTGTGAAGTGGGGCCCAGGCCATCCAACCTCCACTGGGGAGGGGAGGGAAAATGTGTGGAAGCAGGCCTGCAAGTCCTCACTGAAACTGTTTGTTCTCTTATTTTTAATCTCCAGCATCACTGGACATGGTCCCTCTGGAGGTGCTGCCAGACCATTGAGTGCTCCATCCCTGCCCTCCAGACACCCTCTTCCTGGAGGAAAGTCGGCAACTTTGGGTTTATTCCATTTTTTCACCCATGCCAAAGCCTATTTAATATCAGGTTTGCTGTGGGTTTGTTTGGGTTTGGTCCCACAAACGCCTCCAGGGCAGGTCAATCCATCTCCCAAGCCAACCCTTGGCTGTGCCTTTGGAGTTTGCAAAATCCAAGGAGACCTCTGTTGTTCTGCTTGAATATCCCTCCCCATCTCAGTCCCAAATGGTGGGAAGCCATTAGGGAATATTATTGATAAACAATAGATGTCTGGTGGAGATGCTGATGATTTTCCTGGTACAAAAGGCTGCTGCATCCTCTGTGATAATTCCCCTTTCTTTTCCTCCTTGTTGGCTTTGTGGCTTTGTGATTTATTTGTGGGCTGGCAGGCGTCCATGGCCCTGCAGGAAATGGATGTCTGCTCTTGTGTTTGGGGGGGCCATATAAATGTGTAATTTTCCCACTACATTAATTACAGACGTTTCTCCCTGGCTGGAGCAGCTCCATGGTTTCTGTGCCCTTTCAGTTTGTTCTCCCCAGCCCAGGCTGAGAGCGTTTCTAGGGAACTCCAGCTCTGACATCCTCAGCTGAGCTGAGGGAAAGTTAAAGAATTTGGCCACAAAAACTGTAGAAGGGAAACTCACTGGCCTTTTTTTTACCTGATAGTAACTCCAGGATAGCAGCATGGCCAAGTTTTCCCTGACTATTCCTCCTGCTGACGCTTTCCTCAAGGATAAAAGTGGTTTGCCCTAAGAAAACAACCCTCTTGCTTATGGAAAAGCAATTGTAGGGCAATTTACTTTGGAGTAGCTGTGCTACCTAATTCCTGGCTCCTGGAGAGAGAGCCAGCCGGACTTGGAGCAAAGAAAGGAAACCCGAGGCAAAATTCAAAGTGGTTATATCAGATTTTGTTGGAGGAAAGGCTGGACAAGCCACAGTGAGGCCCTGGCACAGGGTGCCCAGAGCAGCTGTGGCAGCCCCTGGATCCCTGGGAGTGTCCAAGGCCAGGCTGGACACTGGGGCTTGAGAGCAGCCTGGGAAAGTGGAAAGTGTTCCTGCAAGCAGGATGGGCCTTAAGGCCCTTCCAATCCAAACCATTCTGGGATTCTACAGTATGGGACAGCAGTGGAGCCAAAACCCACAATTTCCAGCAGACTGAATGTACCCAAGGTGTCCCTTGGCTTGTAACGTGGGCTCTCCATGGATTCCTGATGAAACACATGCCCTACTGTGATTTTTCTCATTTTTGTCCTGCCAAAAGTGAGGGTGTAGGACCAGGGATGTCTGCAAGGACAGGGTACAAACCTGAGCATGAAACCAGGAGAGGGGTGAGGCTCTGTGATGGGGGGACACCCAGGGATGCAGGATTCTGAGATCTCACGTCCTGTTTGGAGTCATTTGGAGCCTGGATATGCTGCTGTTCTGGGTCTGCTGAGATGTGTCTCATTCTTTTTGGGGCTGGGAACATTCCACCTACAAAGTTTCTCCCAGGGGCCCCAGCAAACCTTTGAGCTAAGTCCATTCAAATCCACATAAAATGAAGCATCTTACCGTGTTTGTTCTGCCTCATCCCCTGTAAGTCTTGAGCACCTTCCATGACCTCTCCCACATTTCACTTTCAGGGCACAGCCCACGTGGGGGCCAGTGCTCCACCTGTCTGTGTGGGCTTGTGCAGGGCTGCTGTTGCATTCCTGTGGCCCATGGCAGCGTGCTGGGGCTGGGACAGAGCCATCAGGAGCCAGGTTTCCTTGGGAAAACACCCACCTGGCCATGGGCACGGTGTGGCTGGGCCTGGGCACGCAGGCTGCTGTTATGTCTGCACCTGGTCTGGCCTCATGGAGTGATGGAAACTCTGCTGGGGAGGGAAGGATGCCTTGGTGAAAGCTATTTCAGAGAATCCCAGAATGGTTCGGGGTGGAAGGGACCTTAAACTCACCCAGTTCCACCCCCTGCCATGGGCAGGGACACCTTCCACTGTCCCAGGCTGCTCCAAGCCCCAGTGTCCAGCCTGGCCTTGGACACTTCCAGGGATCCAGGGGCAGCCACAGCTTCTCTGGGCACCCTGTGCCAGGGCCTCACTGCCCTTATATTAAAGAATTTCCTTCTAAATCATCTTCCCATGGTCTGAGTTTAGTCTCTAAACACCAACACCGTTAGCAGCAGCAGGCTCCATGCCCTGAAGTCCCTGTCCTGCTCTGAAAGCAGCAGCCCCAGCAGCACACATCCCTCCCTCCCTCCATCCTCTCAGCGCTGAGCCAGAGGAGCTGCACCCCCTGACATCACCCTGTGGCACTGAGTGTGAATCTCATCCACTCCCTTGTCCATTTGGCCAGTTTGGGAGTTTATTCACCATTAAAACCTTTCCTTTCACATGTTGTTGCAAGGGTAGAGATTTATTTGGGCACGAATTTACTGCCCTTGTCAGTGACAAGGAGGTGCTGCTGTGATGCTGACACAGCCACCAGCTGCAGAAACACCATCCCGGGCACTGCAGGGGGGAAAGGGATTCAGGGCAGGTGTAAAAGTGGGCCAGGCACGACATAAAATAGAGGAGGATCAGTGTGCTCTGCTTCCAGAGGCTGGGGGAAGGTGCTGAGCAGGAACTGTGGCAGGACATCACAGGTGGTGGAGGGAGCCAGAGAAACATCCAGTGTTTGTGTCCTCTCTGCAGTGAGCTCATGGCCAGTTGGGATTGGCCAGGAACTGGGTCAGGATGAAGTGGGATGAAGCAAACAGAACCTGAAGTCCTTGAGCAAGGCCCCTTCCCCCATGCTGAGCCTGTGCTGAAGCTCTCGGGCTCTTCCCTGCTCCAGCACCCTCCCGCCAGCTCCTCAGAGAGCTGGATGCTCCTGCAAGCCCAGCCTGGTGAGGGCACATGGGCAGAGTGCTTGGTCCTTATTTTATTTTATTTTATTTTATTTTATTTTATTTTATTTTATTTTATTTCATTTCATTTCATTTCATTTTATTTCATTTCATTTCATTTCATTTCATTTCATTATTTTATTATTTTATTTTATTATTTTGTTTTATTTTATTGTTTTGTTTTATTTTATTATTTTATTTTA